TGGAAAAAGGTATGGATATAAAATTGGCTCAATCAAGCATCAGAAACCAAACTGGAGGCAGCCTTTTGACATCAGTTATTAGATTGAGAAGAACTCTTTTACCAACTGTTGGAAAGACATTGGGACTTTGTGCTTTATCTGGTTTGGCAAGTGAAGGAGCATCTCAGTTAGTTAAAGCAATTTCTGGAAAAGGTGTTCAGTCAGGTGGTTTTCTAATACCAGAGAATAAAATAAATCAACTCATTCAATACAATAATGTATTAACTGAAAAACAGAATAGATATATTTTAGGCGCTTTACAAAGTGGACAAGGTGTTCATATTAAACCAATACAGACTCAAGAAGGAGGAGACCTTGGGACTATTCTTGCTTCAATTGGTATTCCAATGGCTATTGGTTTGGTAAACAATTTAGTTTCTGGACGAGATGCACCACGGTTGGGATCAAAAGGTGGCAATGGAGCTCCAAGATTGGGTGCTTGCGCATATCCACCTCCATTTATCGGAAATTGGTCAAATGATCTAGTTGGCAGAGGTTTAACAAAATCCTAAAAAAAAACACTAGCGAGAAAAACACACAACGTTTCGATGACTCCATGTCATCATTTTCAAGTGAGAAGGGAATAAAAATGAATAGTTAATTTATACCGTACGAAGGTGGCAAACGTAAAAAGTTTAAAATATTTAAAATATTTAAATAAATAATTGCGCGTGTTGAGTTCATAATTGTAAACTATTAAATAAATAGTTTCGCGCGTATGGAATCCGAATTTTTGTCTACTCTCCCAACCCTAAGTAAGCGCAGGGATCTTGCCTGCATGAGGTTTTTCAAGGACCTTCACAGGACGAAATATCAAGAATCCGTAATCGGGAACGTGAAAGAGATTTGTGAAACCGTTGCGGAATCATGACAGGTAACACGTGTATCAACTGGTTGTTTGGTGACGTTTACTCGTGTTGCTGCGGTAACAATGGAACCGAATCACTTTTTTACATGTTTCCGTTAGGTTTCAGTTGAAGAAAACAAATGTTTCCGCATATGTAACTTCATGTTTACATGTGCGGAAACACATGGTAACGTTCCGGAAACATGAATTTTTATACTTCCGTCAGACCGAAACGTTCACGGAAATACAAGGTTACGTTTTGGAAACACGTTTTCCTGTTGTTTCCGTTGACGTAATAAGACAAAATGTCGACGGAAATATGAGGTTACTTGTAGGAAACATTTTTTCCTCGTGTTCCTGCTGATGTATTCAGACTTAGAGGGGAGGAAGTACAATGTTCTGTTTTAGAAACACTTTTTTTTTTGTTTCAGCATGCGCAGTAGTGGTTTTTTCTCTTCCTTTTTCATTATTACAGGACAGGTTAATATGTTGTGATCGTGCGTTTTTCTATGACCTATATCAGACTTATATCTTTCGTTTGCGAAATCTGTGCTTCATTAATATTGTGTAAAATCACACATATACTTCAGTCGATGGATCGGTGACATATAATTGATTTCTGTTATTTAAAAAGCACATCTTCTTCGAATGTCGTCCTCGTTATTTGAGCAAAATGTGCCTACAATTCCTTTCTTAATAAATGAACATCAATAAAATTTTGCAGCTAGTATATAAAAAATGTCAAATGTGCTGAAAAAAGTGTCTCGACTTAGTCGCTGCGGACAGCCCAACGCGGGCCGTTAGTTGGGTGAGGGCGTGATCGGGCGTGATGATTCATCCTCAGTCCGGTTGACACGTGCACTTGTACGACGTTGCTTCTCAGTTACTGCGGCAAAATAGTCTCATCCAGTATCACTTTAATGTTCCTCAGTTTGCTCCTCTCCCATGAGAGTCTTCTGGCTTTTCGTGGTGTTGGGCCACTCCTTGGTTCTACTGCCTCTTCTTCGCAGCTTTCTTCCGATGACATATAATGTAATGCGTCTTGGGAAGACAGAATTTCTCGTGCCCTTTTCTTGTCTCCATCCGACAGCACTGTCAAGTTGTCCAGAGTATACAGTCGTCGAGAAAGTTTCTAAAGGGAACAAAAAATCGACACAAGTGAGAGCCTTGTCGGAGCACTATTGAGAAGTCAAATAATTGCCAAAGTTGCCATAACTGCCATTTCAGTGACACGAAAAGCTCGATTATGTACTTGCTAATATTGAAATAGACGAAAGACACAAAAATAAGCCACTTAGCTCAAGCTTTGGAAGAAAATCATGTTGACATTGTAGCAGTTAAACAGCAGCGGAGGCTGCTATTAAGCAACTGATTTAATACAACCGCAGAGTTGTTACCAAGAGAAAGTAATAACGGTATTAATCATATTTTCTCTTTTTGTACTGGATTTAAGTGACTTGTCCCAAAACATAAGAGACAAAGTAGTAAACGTTAACAATCTGGCCTTATATAATTGATGTAAAATACTTACCCTCTTTAAACGATTGCTTCGCTCGATTCGCCATCGGTGCTTCTTAAAGCTTTTGTTTGCTTTCCTTATTTTATCATCTCCTATAGATCTCCAATGCTGATGAACCGCACCTTATTTAAAACAAACYGAGTATGTTAGTTGACGAAGCATGCTGTCGACACGAATTAGTAGAGGTTACTCCGAGAAAAATTGGTTGCTGCCCAACATTATTCACTCAGCGATAGCACCTTACGGCATTGGCAGCTTTCGACTCGCTTTAAAAATTGACTTGTGTTAAAATATAGATTCAACCGTTTCAACCCTTTAATCCATTTTTGGAAACAACGTCTTTTTATATAGCTACATCACACAAGCAATCTGGCCGGGACATAACGTACGTATAGTTGAGGGCGAATCAAGATTTGAATGGATGAATTTTACTTGTTAGTCAGCATACTTAGATTCGCTACAGGTAGGGTTATGACGCTAATTTGACCTAAGCCTACAAGCAGTCTCTCTTTTGCTCTAAGGTAAGCCAGTGAGGACAAATAAGAAAATAAGTAAAAGTACTGGCAGAGTTAAGCTGGAGCCCGAAAGATGTGTACCGCACATCTTCGATATTGTCACCTTCATTGCCCCGGATTTTAGAGCAAAGAAACTGCTCGCAGTCTATTTTGACCCACTTGTCTAAGAGGCTCGATTGCCTGCACATAGTACCTTCAAAACGGCTCTTATAGAGAAATATCAATAGCAATATAAATTCGATATGGCCAGCTGGTATCTTATTGGAGGAACTTTCACTGCTCTTGTTAAAGAAATTATGAGAGAGGCTTACTTTTGATGGATGACTTCCTCCACTTCTTCTTACCGTAAACTGCCCGTACTTCAATTAAGAGTTTCTTGGCCAAGGCTTGATTTGATGAAACGTCGAAACTACATGTACACATACAATAGAGAAAAAGGAGAAGATTAAGAATAGAAATACGATAGCTAGAAAGGTAAATTTTTTAAATCATTGTCCAAAAAATGCACAGGCCGCGATGAAACAGTTATTCACATCTGCATAGAGCAAGACGAGTGGAATCAATCATCAACCAAGTGAGAGAAAAAAGAAATTTATAAAGACAGCTTTTGAGCAGCAGTTAACAAATTGTCCCAAAGCAGATCTAGACAGACTAGGGTTGAGAAACATTTCTTCAGAGCCCTGAAAACTTTTTAACTTTAAATAGTTGCGATTAAGTTGAAAAGTTTAAAAAATTAAAAACCATCTTGGTTAAATGTTTAAGACGAATGCTACGACGTTTCAACGTTCGCTTAGCGTCATTATCAAGTCAATAATAATTATTAGTATATACAAAAACAGTGGATAGCGTTCAAGGCGCGCTCTAATTGGCTAGTCAAACTCCGAATATCCTTTGCTATTTACCTCCGAGCAAATCGGGAAAAAATGGCGTGCCGGTTTGCAACCGTGACAAGCGAATAAATCACTCAAATAACGACGAAGCAGTCCCTGAAAACACAGAGAAAGCGACTAAATTTGGTTTGGCCGTGTTTAAAGGTAATGGTAACCGGGAGTTTATCGATAAAAACCGATGGAAAATATTTTGTTTACAAATGCAAATTAATCTTGCGTAACCTCACTTGTTCACTTGAAAATCAAAGTTGAATGGTATTTTTTACAGAATGGTTTCAAATACAGAAAGAGTTTGCAACACCATTTGAAGAAATGTCGCTACCAGAGCTAAACAAGTGTCTTCGGAAATTTTATCTTTCAGCGAAATAACGTGACGGCAGTTTTCACAACAAAAAATCTTTTACCGCGATCCGAGCCGCGTTGGATCGTTACGCGCGGGAAAATGTTGGAATCGTTGCTGGAATGTATGAATTAAAATAAACTTTTGGTGGTGTAGATTATCTCACTGTTTTAGTATATACTAAAACAACTATTCACCTCATTGTCGA